TGAGATTAGTTGATGGCGCCAACACTCCCCCGGGGGGGGGGGAACGAAACCACGATCGCCACCGCGATCCCTCCCATATTTCCCCCCAAAAAAGAAAGTGAAAAGAAAGCCTATTTTCTAAATTTCCATTCAAACGACAAAAGAACCATCGACCGAACCAGTTCACGTTTCCGTCCTCTAGAGTGAAACAAAACGCACGGATTTTGGGTGCGCAATTTTTGACTACAATAACCGGTCTCCTCGCCCGTTCCAAACTCGTGTCCGCTGCACGCGTCTGCGCGGACACAAGACATTCCTGCGGGAAGTCGATCCGTGTTCGCCGGCGCTGCCTTCGTGTCCCGCTCGCTCGGGAAGGGCTCTTCGCTCCAAAACGCGGATTGCGCACAGGAAACCCAGATCCGGATGTGTCCCCCTTTGACGCCGACCCCCTCCATGGCGCATCTTCCACGTGCCGCACAGAACAATCCCAAACTGAACTCAAGGTGGCCTTTTTTTTATCACGTAAGGGCCGAATTCCTGTTAAGTAGCTCTTGTCCCTGAGACCCTTAAGGTTGCGTCCCTGGTTATATTTTCAGCCTGAGTGCTTTGCAATTGGCAGTGGTCAGAATTCGTTGTCATCACGAGACCGCGTAGAATGAGCCACTCTGTTTTTGCAGCCGTAGATCCACTGAATATCCGGCTCGCACGGGACTGTTTGGTGCCCTGGGTTTGCGGTAGATCGCAAAAGATACCTTGGGAAGATTGAATCAAGATGCTCCGGGAGGTTGGAGCAGAACCAACTGGCGATACCAGCTGTAGATAGAGATAAACGGGTAACGCTACAATGGGCAAGGATTGTGGCCCTGGTTATCCAGTCAAAAACCTCTGATGCAAGTATGGTTGACAGATAGTTCACTAGCTTTAGGGGGGTTATTATTATAGGAATAGCAAGCTATTTTTCATTTTGCTTTTTTTTAGCTATCAGGGTTATGTTTGAAATGTTTACCAGGTATTTTAATCTTCTAATGGATACGTTTAGGGATTTTACTTGATATTGTCAAGACGGGTAGCCATTTCTGTCTGTAGCAAGAGTGCAGGAGCACCTTAAAGACTAACAAAATTCGAGGCAGGGAAGGAGCTTTCCTTTATCTTTCAGATAAAGAAGTGAGCAGTGCCTCACAAAAGCAACTGGCAAATTTTGTTAGTCTTTAAGGTGCTCCTGGACTCTTGCTCTTTTCTGCTTGATTCTGTGATAGCTTAATCCACAAATTCAGAACAATGGACCCCCCAGGGCTGAATAGGAACACAGGCTTCTTATCTCACTACAGATGCTAATTATCAGCCTCCCCCCAGCATTTCTCCTTTTCTCTAATCAAGCTGATGACAATAGGCATTGTTAGCTTTGCATCCTTTTACAAGCCTTCTTTACAACAGCCCTCTCACCTTCTGACTGGGATAAAAGGACTCAGGGATTGCGCCTTCTGCTCTACTCATGTCTGATGCAGGGAGCTTTGATTCTCAAATGTTCATACGCTGAAACTCCGGTTGGTCTTGAAGGTGCTGCTGGACTGGAACCTAACTGTGATGGCCTTGTTTTGTTTCCTTTATTTTTTTTAATTTAAATTTAACCGTTTAATTGTTGTTTTGCTATGGCTTTGAGTTCATGCAGTAGAATTAACTGACTGATATTTTCAGCCAGATGGCTAAAACGTCACGTGTGAATTTGATTTTTTGGGAAATATCACAAAAGGGGGGAAAGTACCTGCCAGAGAACTGGGATCGCCTGCTGTTTATAAGTGTACACCTGATAGCAAACACGGATTTGCTGCTGAATAATGTATGGGACAGCACCAGGCTAAGGCTGGGGTTCCCCCCCCCTTTTTTTTTTTACTCTGCCTCTTTATGAATTTGCAATGGCCTCAGGTGCAAAATTAATTTCCCCTTCTGTTCCAAGGCTCCAGCCATCTGATATGGGAACTGTCTAGCCCCCAAAATACATTCTGCTCCTATTAACCTGCAACACCCTCCCCCCCTCCCCGAAAAAATCCCCAGAAACAGTTTGATTTCCAGAACATTACTTGTTGGGTTACACTATGATGCGCTGTTTGCTTGCTGTACTCTCCATGTATCGACAAATCAATCTTGAAATAAAATCTATATTAAGGTAAATAATATATCGAGAGAGATAGATTGGATTTATACCCCGCCCTTTACTCTCTGAAGGAGCCTCAGAGTATCTTACAATCTCCTTCCTCTTCCCCTCGCCTCCATTTTATTCTCACAACAACCCTATGAAGTTGGTTGGGCTGAGAGTGTGACTGACTGAAGGTCACCCAGCGAACCTCCAGGGCACAAGCGGGGATTCAAACCCTGGTTTCCCAGGTGCTACTCCAATACTCTTAACTACTACACCACACTGGCTCTCATTTATAACAAATGTATTATAATCAATAAGAGAGCCAGTTTAGTGTAGTGGTTAGGAGCATGGACTCTAATCTTGAAGAACTGTGTTTGATTCCAACATGCAGTTGCTGGTGTGACCTTGGGTCAGTTACAAGTTTCTTCAGAGCTGTTCTCTCAAGGGCAGTTCTCGAGAGAGCTCTCTTAGCCCCACCTACCTCACAGGGTGTCTGTTGTGGGGAGGGGAAGGGAAAGGAGATTGTACGGCGCTCTGAAGCTGTGATCACAGACTAAATAATCCATTTTCACTGCACTTTCCAACTGGATTTTACTGTGTAAATTGACAAAATCCAGTGCATTGAAAGTGGATTATTTAGTGTGTGTGATTGCAGCCTGAGACTCCTTTGGGTAGTGAAGGGCAGGGTATACATTCAATCTCCTCCTC